CTTTTTCTATTAATAAAAATAAATTTATCAATAATTTGAAAAGGGCTTTTTCCATTAAAAGAAAAGATACCAGTACTTACCATAAATTGTTTAATAAAAAGGTTCTGTTTATTACAGTTGTGTTAAAAAATAATGCCTAAAATATGTGCTGGGCCTGCTTTCTGTTGCGTGCCGCTAGAAAAGAAAAATCTCTGATAGGCATATATGTTCTTTCACAGTCTGTTGAATTTACTTAATTGTACTGACAATTATTCCATATAACTAGGTCTCACCTTCTAGAGAGTCTTGCACAAAGAACTAACTCCGTAGCTCCATCGACGATTCCCAAATATCTGTAGAACGTGCACTCGTGAACAAACAGAAGCATTCCGTGAAATCTGAATGCAGTGTTCGTGTGTATAATTATCTTTTCCATGTGTTTAACAGCCTCCTTTGTTTTCTTATTTATACAAACTCCATAGAAAATACGTTCTATTTTTACTAAGATATACGTTCTAGCGCCAGTGTCTTTTTCTCACCTGTTGATATACTAGAATATGTTTAGTTCTGTCCCTAAGCTTCTGTTCCTTTCCGTGTGAGTTCCGTGGCCTCATTCTGGGACGAAAAATTGGCATCCTGTTTCCTTACAAGCCTGGCGTAAAGAGTTACTAATTAAGGTTTTGAAGAAATTAGACGTGACAGGCCCAAAGGCGCAGACATAGCATCCTAACTGTAAATAAAACAGCGTGCTAACAACCCTTATATGGGTGGACGTAAAACAAAAAAGCAGAAGACTGATTTTTGGTGCACAAGTAGCACAGTGGTTTCGCGCCACCGAAATCAAAAGAAATGTAGAAACCAACATTCCTTAGTCAATGGGCTACAGTCAAGTCCAAGTAGGCTACCAAAGATATCTACTTAATGATGGTATCGGGTAGGGTAAGTCTGTAGGATCAACAGCTTTGATAAGAATCAAACCTATACTCTCCGTATGGTTTCCGGGCTCTATTAAAGAGACAACAAGAATAAACCCAAAACATGTGGTAAGAGTCGATTAATTGGGAGCTTCCTTCGAAGTCAGAGTTCATCTGCCTGAGAGGCAAGGGACCAACAGTCTGCACACAAATTATTCAGATCTGTCAAACGGATGCACACGCAGCACTCATGTTGTGGGATAGGACTGCAGTCCAGAAGTGGACGAACAACAAGAACTTTCCGCTGGAGTTTACAGCTGGTGAACGTGAAGAAGAAGAAGAAACATGTACAAGTCCTGGAAACCAGGTTCAGCCGCATATTGCAGTATGCATGGGCATACACAGTACAAAGGGTGGGAAAAACAATCAAAGAGGATAGCGGCGTTTACCAGACGACTACGTCAAGCATGGCCAGGGAGATAACTGCTGCTTCCAGAGCACTCGCGTGGGTAGCAGAACAAACGGCCTCCCGTGCGGTAATAATTTCAGATTCTAAGAAGATAGCAGATACTATAAACAACTTCTCATGGGGACAATCAGCAGAGGTACCTAGGAGTGGCTGCTGCATCGGAGGACTGAGCACGCATGGGGTTGCCCAATGTACAAAGACGTCGATTGTGATAACATAACGCAGTGAGAAAATTGATAATTATTTCCATAAAAATGAGGATTCACGTATAAGCAACTTTTGAATTAATAATCCCTTCTTGGATGATATAAAATCTTGCCCATTTGATCATCATAAAAAAGAAAAGCTGGTCTAGTTGTTTTCTGGTGTCAAAATTGTGTCCAGACATAAACTTTAACAATTGTCTGAGTTCTATAACCCTCCCTCAGAAGTCAACGAAGAGTTGCGATGCTGATAGTGTTAACGGTAACCTGATTAAAAGTCGGTTTGTCTTTCCCTGCCTGACCGTTACACGTTGCCCAGGCTCTATGCTTATTATTAGTGCAAGCAGACTTTTAATATATAGATACTGTGCTTTGTTGCAGTGTTTACCTCCTCATCCCATGTATCCTTCAGAACAATAGCTTTGTCATTAAAAAAAATAGCTCGCAGCACAAAGAGACGACAACAGCTAATCAATTAGTCTGCTTATTACCACGTACACCCCAATCCCAATGTCTGGCTATCTTCCGAATAACGGTCCCATATTATCGAGGCAGAAAATATACCCTAACAGGACCCCAGTCACGTGTCAATTGCGCACTTCCGGCGACTTCCGCCACCACCGAGAGTATCCCTAACGCCGCTCACGCGGCGTGGATTGGAGCTAAACTAGATGGCTAGGACTCACGAGCAGCAGCTACCGCATTTCCTGCGGCTGCCTTACTTTTATTTGCTCGTGAGTCCTAGCCATCTAGTTTAGCCCCAATCCACGCCGCGTGAGTGGCGTAAGGGAACTATCGGCGGGGGCGGAAGTTCGCAATTCGGCGCCGGCAGCGGTATAGTCCCCGGAAGTGCGCAATGGATAACCCAATGTCTTTAACAGAAAATCCATTAAATGATTCCAATTTGAATCTCATCAACGGATGCAAACCAGTTTGCGCACAGGATATCTGTTTCTTTTCCCCGAAGCATGCTCCACGAGTCCATTACAATTTAATGTCGGGTTGTACCACTCTTCGAACAACTCAATGAACACTTTATATCCCATTTATAACCCCGAGGGTTGCAAACACTTTATATTCCAATTACAATCCAACAGCCACAAACTCGTTATATCCCAATTATAACCCCAAGGGTCGCTAACTCGTTATATTCTAATTAGTATCCCGAGGGTCACAAACTCGTTATATTCAACTTATAACCACGAGAGTTACAAACGCGTTATACCCTAAATATAACACTATGAATTACAAATTCTTTAAATAACAATTACATCTCCAGGGTCACAAACTCGTTATATCCCGGTTATAACCCCCCGAGGGTCATAAACTCGTTATATCCCACCTATAACACTGGAGGGTCACAAACTTGTTATATATCAATTATAGTTCCCGAGGGTCACAAACTTGTTATATCCCAGTTATAACCCTGAGGGCTGCAAACTCGTTAACTCCCAATTATAACCCCATGGATTACAAACTCATTACATCCCGATTATAACCCGGAAGATTACAATCTATTTTGAGCCCGGTTATAACCCTCGAGGGCTACAAACTCGTTATATCCCAGTCACAGCCCTCGAGGGCTACAAACTCGTTATATCCCAGTTTTAACCTACGAGGATCATAAACTCATTATATCCCAATTATAACCATCCTAGTGGGGAGGATGTGCCTCGTTTAACACATTTCATTAGAAGAGCAAATGGGGGTTGGAAATATTTGACGAAGAACTATCAAAAAAGAAAATATATATTAGGGTTTCATTTCCCCCGAACACCGACCAACCGAGATCAGACGTGGACAAGAACGATAAATCTGTACAGAAGGAAGTTCTCTCTCCAGACGTTGGGATTTTTGTGAGGTAAAGTGAAACAATTTCTACATCGAAGCTCACAGGAAAACCTCCGCAATTTGTTACTTCAAATTAGATAGTGAACATTTGATATTTTATTGTATTTACAACATTATATACAACCCTAATGTAACCACAGTTTATATTGTTTATTTCATAATTAAAACCAGAATTCTATACTCTATACTAACTACTAGTTAACTACTGCTGGAGTAACTTACTGGACGTAAATTTGCCTAGATAAACCACAGCACACAACAGCCAGGTGCTGCTGAGGTTGGTTCTGCAACGTCCTGTAAAGGATACGCAACTAACCTAATACTGTGAGTATGATCTACGAAAATCTCTCCTGCTAGATCAGAGCTGGATGCAGAAATCGAAACAGAAGTTAGAAATAATTGAAAGGGATGTCATTGTCATCATCATTCATCAATCATGCTTGGTGGGACATATTTTTCGATTTTAGCTTAATAAAATTAAATTGCTATTATTCATCTTTTTTAGTATAATAATACTGGACATGAACGTCTATTACTATTACTTAGCTGTAGCTTTAGCACCAGCCGTAACATGAATAGTAATAATATCATGTCATGTTTTAATTTAGATAGTAGTGGACATCAGTTTTCAGCTTCACTGCAAACTGAGGTCCCATAATTGCTTTGTTCTTGTGTCAGTAAAAATAACAATAAAATCACATGCGAGACCCCTCAGTGTATGTTTGAAAAGTTGTGGATAAACAGTCGCAGCAAAATCCCAAAACTTGCACATGCAGTAAATGCATAAGGTGGCCACTAGAAGTGACAACACTAAAAATTTCTACCATATGTAAAAAAAATGTGTTGATTGAAGTAGTCAGGTAAGATAAGCTGGTCATAATTTCTTTAGATTTAGATTAGTAGCTAGATAACTATCCTATTGTGGTGAGATTCTTATAAATCAAGAACAAAACAGGACAGCCCAAAACTGCCTTTTATAAAATGAACATTTTATGCAGTAAATCAGTGTCTTTGGAGGTTAGGAAAAGAATTCTCCCATGCTATATAGAGCTAGTTTTAACATACGGGTTGTGAATCCTGGACAGTTAATAAACAACCCAAACAATATGTCGAGGCCTTGGAGATGTGGTTTTACAGAAGAATTTTTAGAATTCCTTGGATAGCTAAGAAAAGCAACCCCGATGTTTTGAAAGAGGTGAGTGCTCGAACACAACTTATCACAAACACCATAAAGAGACAGTCATTATTCATGTTATGAGATGAGGGGAAACATGGAACATGTTGTAATAACTGGAAAGATTTGTGGAAAGAGAGACAGAGGAAGACAGCAAGAGAAGATTCTTGAAGCCTTTTGTCATGGTATGCAAGAGTGTCAACACACCAACTGACACACTCAGTTATGGATTGCAGATTGTGGAGAGGCATGATCGTCCATGCCTTCCACCAATCTACTTATTGGTGGATTATATTATATTATATTTAGTAGTTTTGAAATGTATTCTTATTTGTCCATCTTTTCTTTTTTTTTAAATGCAGATCAGTCAAATTTCCTCACAGGAACACTGAACAGACAGCCTTGGCAAGATGGTTTTAGCAGATCTAGGTAGGAAGATTACCTCAGCCCTGAAGTCACTCAGCAATGCTACCATCATCAATGAAGAGGTTAGTCATTCATTTGTGTAGGATCGCTTTCCTTGCACACAGATATCTTCATAAGGTAGGACCTGCCAGGATACCTCGTCCTTTTAGTTCTCTCTGCCAGTGGTTTTCAGATGAGAAGACCACCGGCTTCTATGAAGGTTGTAGTGAGATTTGTGCCTTTCACTGATCCATACAGCTGACTGCCTTTATTTTACAGAACATTTCCTGGTAACTTTCAGTCTGGGATCCCTTTAAATAAATATTTAAAAATATGTCTGCATCCTTAACTAGTTTTAGAAACAATTTTAAAATTCACACCCAGTTTTACTTTACATCTCTACAAAGCAGGAGTTATTTTACCTCATCTCATTATTGTAAGATTTTTATTTTAAGTAATAATATTTGGATCTGAAAAGTTGATGTTGTAACACCATAGATCTTCTTTAATTTCTGGCAGAAAGTTCTGGTTGTTCACCTACTTCAGGACTTTGTCTTGCTCTAGAACTTTTGTGTGCACATCTGTTTTTACAGATCTGGCTTTTTTGTTTGTAGACTGTTGGCTCCTCTCTTCTCAGATGCAGCTGACTTTGAAGGAAACACCTCTAATTTGTCACTTTTTATGACATGCTTAGAGCTGCAGTGGGTCTGTCTGTTAAATGGGGTCCTGAAACCCACATGGGAAACACCATAGCTCAAAAGGAGTTAGAGTAACTGTTGCTACGGTGGGAATTAGTGTGTCAACTGGATGAATTACAAGACCCTGAGCTGTGCTGGGCCACTGTTCTAAGAGGAACTTCTGACAGGGGAACAGGCAGAGAGAGCTCTGCCCTTCTGATCCAGAAGCTTCTGCTGCTGCAGCCTGCTTTCTTACAAACATAGTGGTGTTAACTTTCAGTTGGAGTTACCAAAGCAGGCCGATAGAGGGATCTTGCTGTATCCACCACACATGATCTCTACAATACTGCCCAGGCTTAGTGCTCTGGTGAGATGGAACTCCTTCCCTGGTCTTAATTGGTAACACTATGGGGTTTGATCCTCATACCTTTCTCTGGCACAGTGGAACCTCTCATCTGGAAACAAAAAGGAGCTAATGTGGATAAATTACAAGGATGTCAAAAAAAAATACACATACACGCATATAAATATATCTTGTCAGTTGAAGCCAACAAAAAGGTAAGCAGGTAGAGTTGTTTCATACTGGAAATTAAATTGTTTCTATTGATAGGTTCTTAATGGCATGCTTAAGGAAATCTGTACTGCACTTCTGGAAGCAGACGTCAACATTCGATTGGTCAAACAGTTGCGGGAAAATGTCAGGTGAGTATTTTCGTGTAGGTTGTTTTCTTCTTTCAATGCCTGGTCTGGAGGGAACATTGTTGATCGTGACTCTCCCATTCTCTTTGTTGTCTGCTTTGGTGAAATTGATGTTGCTTATATTATTATTCGACTTCTTATATTCCACGCCGTGGGGTGTTCATACGTATGTCTATTCACAACCTTCAGTCTCGTGTACTTTCAGTAAGTTCTGATACAAATGATCTTCCATAGTCCACACCATGTGGTGCTGATAGTGTCTGTGTGACCTTCTGTCTCATGTACTTTCAATCAGTTGGTAGTCATGTCTGTCCACAAACTTTTGTCTCCTATACATTATCAGTTCTGACAGATCTTCCCTGCCATGTCAAACTGCCCACCAGCCTCTCTCTCTCGGTCTACCCCTGCCTCTCTTCCTCTCCAACTTCTCATGACATGTTATCTCCTTCTGATGTAGGCAGTCAGTTTCTTTCAAGATATCTTGATTACCGTTTTTCTGTCCAGGATGTTCTCATCATGTGTCTATAAAACCCACATCTCAACCACCTCCAGATAATGTTTCACTTGTCGTCCAACTGTCTATGATTCAACCACATCTCAGCCACCTCCAGATAATGTTTCACTTGTCGTCCAACTGTCTATGATTCAACCACATCTCAGCCACCTCCAGATAATGTTTCACTTGTCGTCCAACTGTCTATGATTCAACCACATCTCAGCCACCTCCAGATAATGTTTCACTTGTCGTCCAACTGTCTATGATTCAACCACATCTCAACCACCTCCAGATAATGTTTCACTTGTCGTCCAACTGTCTATGATTCAACCACATCTCAACCACCTCCAGATAATGTTTCACTTGTCGTCCAACTGTCTATGATTCACTGCGGATATCAGGGTAGGATTTATGAAGATCTCAAGATTTTATTTGTCACCCAGCTGTTTAGGCTTTCTGTATTTATCATTCTTTGTCTTCCTCCGCCTTTCTTGCCTGTTTTCCAACATGAGGCTAATATCTCTATTCTACCTTGCTGCTGAAGATGGGGACGGAGCGCATATGGGGGTGTCTGAGTGCTGTGATGTCGATTCTTATTTCAACATTCTCTATTCTGCCTATTCTATGCCTTGTTTCTTATCACTTTGATCAGATATTTTGCAATACCTGTACTTTTAGTACCTCAGTAGTTTTTATTTTTTTTTAACATGGTCTTTAGACTTGTCTTTAGGGCATTGGCATTGACTCTTCTTCTTGTGCCATTGATTTTTCTTTTTTCTAACATTGTTTCTGACATGAATAATACTTTTTATACTCTCTAGTTTAGTAGTAACTGTTTTAGTTCTCAGTGTTTGAGTTCCACATGGCTTAGTCTTAATCATTTATTTGTTACCACTGTAAGTTATATTATTGTTATATTGTTGTTACATTACAGTTTAGTTGGTAACCATTTGTTCTACATTTGTTGATGACCTGCACTGATAGTATTTTTTTTTTCTGTGACCAATATTTCAGATCTGTGATAGACTTTGATGAGATGGCAGGGGGTCTCAACAAGCGCCGCATGATCCAGTCTGCAGTATTTAAGGAACTAGTCAAGGTGGGTGGCTTTGTCAGCTGTTGTTTTGTAGTTAAAGACAGCTGTTGTTTTGTAGTTAAAGTCAGCTGTTGTTTTGTAGTTAAAGTCAGCTGTTGTTTTGTAGTTCAAGTCAGCTGTTGTTTTGTAGTTAGTAAGCTGTTGTTTTGTAGTTAAAGTCAGCTGTTGTTTTGTAGTTAAAGTCAGCTGTTGTTTTGTGAAGTCAGCTGTTGTTTTGTAGTTAAAGTCAGCTGTTGTTTTGTAGTTAGTCAGCTGTTGTTTTGTAGTTAAAGTCAGCTGTTGTTTTGTAGTTAAAGTCAGCTGTTGTTTTGTAGTTAGTCAGCTGTTGTTTTGTAGTTAAAGTCAGCTGTTGTTTTGTAGTTAAAGTCAGCTGTTGTTTTGTAGTTAGTCAGCTGTTGTTTTGTAGTTAGTCAGCCGTTGTTTTGTAGTAAGTCAGCTGTTGTTTTGTAGTTACAGACAGCTGTTGTTTTGTGAAGTCAGCTGTTGTTTTGTTGTTAAAGTCAGCTGTTGTTTTGTAGTTAGTCAGCCGTTGTTTTGTAGTAAGTCAGCGGTTGTTTTGTAGTTAGTCAGCGGTTGTTTTGTAGTTAGTCAGCTGTTGTTTTGTAGTTAGTAAGCTGTTGTTTTGTAGTAAGTCAGCTGTTGTTTTGTAGTTAGTCAGCTGTTGTTTTGTAGTTAGTCAGCTGTTGTTTTGTAGTAAGTCAGCTGTTGTTTTGTAGTTAAAGACAGCTGTTGTTTTGTAGTAAGTCAGCTGTTGTTTTGTAGTTAAAGTCAGCTGTTGTTTTGTAGTTAAAGTCAGCTGTTGTTTTGTAGTTAAAGTCAGCTGTTGTTTTGTAGTTAAAGTCAGCTGTTGTTTTGTAGTAAGTCAGCTGTTGTTTTGTAGTTAAAGACAGCTGTTGTTTTGTAGTTAAAGTCAGCTGTTGTTTTGTAGTAAGTCAGCTGTTGTTTTGTAGTTAAAGTAAGCTGTTGTTTTGTAGCTGAACAGATAATAGCAGATGTTAGAAGTCAGAAAAGGACTGGTCATAACAAAACAGTTTGAGCAGCATAAAAACTCTGATACAAAGCAATGGTAAATAAACTGAATGTTTTGAGAGCATTGATCTGTCCTGTGACATATGGAGGTGAGGCAAGACTATTTCAGAATTATCTATAAACACACACAGAGAATCAGGAGCCACTGAAGAATAGTTAGATTAATCAGCCGGTTTGTCCCCTCTCGGCTGCTACCTAAAGGTTTACCATACCATCCTGAGATGGCTCTGCTAAACTTGGTGGGAAAAGTGGTCAAGACCTTGTGGGAGCACGTGTACAATTTGGAAGAGCAAATGGATCATCACAGTCTAGTGAGACTGATGCAGTGAGGAGTGATAAGGGGATCTGGCCGATACTCTGCCCTCAGAGGAAAGGCAAAGACAGACATATAATCAGACTGCTACTAGTGCCATTGGTAATGGAAGTCTCTGCTAGCTGCTGAATAGGGGTACGGAGCGCTTATGGGAATGTCCAGAGTGCTATGATGTTGGCTCTTGAATCAACTCAGCTCATTTGACCTGAGATTAAAACATCTCAGTATGGATGGCAAATGAACAGGGCAGATCTCAGATACCCTGTTCAACCTCCCAAAAATGTTATAATTAGGGAACCTGTAATGGCTACTCCAGCCTGGTGTCACCTGCAGTCCTCTCCATGTAAAGACAAATTTCACAGTGAATTTTGAGTTCGGTTATCCTTGTTTTCCCTCCGGGCATGTCATAAGTGCTCAGATTCTCCCCTTAACATATACATACATATTAATTGTGCCAGTCCTGAGCTGGTTGACAAGATTTCTTATACACCAAGTGTGTCTCTCATGCCTGGGTGTGCCGTTTACTCCATCTTCTTACATTTTTAGCAGCAATATGCACACGCTGCCCCTCAGAATCCTCATTTCGTCCTCTCTCATGGTGAATGATGTGGTATTCATGGCAAACTAGACAGAAAATTATTTATCATGATAATGAGGTGTTGAGAAAGGTTGTAGGAATGACCAGAAGAGATACAGTCAGAAATGAGGTCATAAGAGAATAGTCGGTACAAAGCCAGTGCTAAATTACGTACAAGGACAGCAAATAAAATGGTTTGCCCACTTAGAGAGAATGCCTTATGACATACCGTGCAAGGAATAAATCAAAAGAGCAGGGGGATGTAGAGCATGAGGTAGACCAAGAACAAATGGAAAGATAACATCAGATAAACTCTGCAACTGTATGACTTGTCTATGGTTAAGGTGGGCAGAAGACAAACAAATGAATGAACAAACTTTATTTTTATGAAGACCAAGAAGCAGAACCTTATATCTCTCCTGACTTCCAGAGTGGTAAAAGAGAAAGTGAAGAAGTGTTTAGGATCTGTGTAGATAGTTACAGACCAAAGCATGACAGAATAAACAGGTGTGGCAGCAGTGCTCACACCAAAACTTTCAGACTCAGAACGGGAGACTAAACTCAGAGCACAGCTACATTGAACTGGTCTTGCCAACTCTGCTGCAGAGTGGTTGTGGCTCATCAAGCAAACCCCAGAGCAAGTCTTATTGGGTTGCCCAGACTTTGCCAGTCAGAGAAAAGACAACTGACTCACAGGAGCATCCCTACAAGATAAACTATGAGGGCACCAGTGAAGACCTCAAGCACACTGTCCTGTTTATGACTTATATTGGAGTTTTAGAGTTTTGTGGTTTTACAGAAGAATGCTTAGAATACCTTGGACAGCCAAAAAAGAGCAACTAAGAGGTTTTGAAAGAGGCCAGAGCCCGAAGACAACTTATCACAGACATCAGAAGGAGACAGTCATCATTTTTTGGCCATGTTATGAGAAGAGGGAAAATAGAACATGTTGTGACCACTGGAACGATCTGTGGAAGGAGGGATAGAGGAAGACAACGAGAGAAGATGCTTGACAGTCTTGCTGCATGACATGGAGGTGTGTCGGCACACGAGCTGATACATGCTGCAGGAGATCGTGGATTATGGAGAGGCATGATCGCCCACGCCAGTCTGCAAGGCACCTGATGATGATGATGATGATTGGAGTAGATGGATAGTAAACACTGATTGCTGAAGAATAATTATCTGTAGTTACTAAATAAATTATTTATAGTACAATGTATGCTGAGTGTGATGTTTCATTGAGATGTATAATCATGTCCACAGCTGATTGACCCTGGTGTAAAGGCATGGCAACCCAGCAAAGGCAAGAGCAACGTCATCATGTTTGTGGGTCTGCAAGGCAGTGGCAAGACTACAACATGTACAAAGGTGAGACCTGGTTGGAGATCCCCATTTATCACAATGGAAATCACTATTTATTTGTTTTGAGTTCTTCTTCTTCTTCTTACCATCGCTGGCTGTAAATGCTAGCAAAAGGTTCTGGGTGTTCGTCCATATCTGGATTTTAGTCTTGTTCCAGAACTCTTGCATGCACATCCGTTTTACAGATCTGGCTTATTTGTGTGCAGAGTGTTTGTCACTGGTGCGGATGCACTCATACTTAAAGGGAAACAACCTTAATTAGTCAGCATCTGCAGCATGCAATGGGACGATGGGTCTGTTCTTATTTCCCCCCCCCCCCCCAGAAAGTTACCCCGGGACCCACACAGGGATGTTGAGTGCTCATGACCGTTTGCTCATGTTTCATGACAACGAAGTAAACAAATATAGATGTCCTAGAAGAATGAACAGTGAAGGGAGAGCTCACAAACAAAATACATTAGAGCTATACAGATTTTATTTGCCTAGAAAAACCTCAACAGCCAAAATAATTGCCGGGGTTGCTTCTGGTAAAGGATAGGCAACTAACTTTATATATGGTTTACAATCTTGATTCACTGGAATTGTAGCTCTTTCCTTAAGCTCTACAGTAGTGTTTCTACAGTGTTAGTCGAGCATCCATTGAGTCTGGAAAAGAACCGAAAAAATTTTTTTTCAAATAAAGTGAAGAAAGGCTATTTCCTTAGAATAACAGTAGAGTAATATGGAGATAACAACAAAGCAGACGAAACAAATCAGGGATTAGTAGAATATCAGAATTAACTAATCTTTTCTTGTACTCAGGCCATAAGTTCCTTATCCCGTTTACTAGTCTAAATAAAAAATTAAGTTTCACCCTCACATTGTTCATTCGGAATTGGAACTGTTCACTGGCTACTAAAGATGAGGATGGAGCGCTTATGGGAATGTTGCAAGGCTGTGATGTCAGTTCTTAGCTCAGCTCTCAGAAATGTTTATTTATTGTCTATGTTTCTGCCTTACGCAGTCATGTTATGTATATTTTATGTTAAGTTAACGATAGTTAACATCACAATCACTGCACATTGGACATTCCCGTGCATTCTCCTTGCTCCAGTGTAACAGCCATCCCTAGGTACCTCTGATAGCTCTTCCTGAATGAAGTTAGTTTGAATGTCTGGTCCCCTGATCTGGAAGATGGCAAAGGGGTGCTTCACTCTCAGGTAACTTAGCTGGATTCATGTTTGAGAATACAGCAGTGTTTGCTCTCATATTGTTGTATTCATTGTCCATATTCCTGTAGAATGCAGTAATGCAGATTAAATATAGCTGTTAGTTGCTCTTAATTTTAGTTTATAACTTTTCATAATAAACATGTAAGCCCATTACCTGAGCACCATGTATCAGCTCTGCATTTATGGAAGCCTCCTGGGGTGGCAGGGAATGCCCATGCTCTGTGTTTTCCTTCCCTTAAGGGTCGATCAGTCTGCACGCAGCTGACCTGGTGGAGACATTATCTGTGGATCAGGAGATGACGAAGTCACCACCCATATGAGGCTACCAATGTCCCACAAAACTAATTAGGAAGGCTAACCCGGACAACAAATGCTCCAGAAAGTTGGATATGTTGACCGAAAGGCACAAACATCGCAGGCACACTGCATTTACATCACTTTCAGATGAACAATGAAGTTTGATTAACATGATCACTGTCTGTCCCTACAGCTGGCCTACTACTACCAGCGGAAAGGGTGGAAGACTTGTCTCATCTGCGCCGACACTTTCCGTGCTGGGGCCTTTGATCAGCTGAAGCAGAATGCAACCAAAGCTCGTATTCCCTTCTATGGCAGGTAAGCTTGCAGTATACTTTGTGTTTATTGTTTTTAAGTTGAGGTTAAAGCCAAAGAATCTACTTCATTGGTTTTATCCCATATGGTTCGGTCTCTCTCCGCAGAATGGCTAGCCACCTGCCGAGAGCATCGCACAGAGCACAAACTCTTTAGTTCATTTGATGATCCCCAAGGATCTCCGTAAAATTGCTCTTGTGAACTGAAGGGCGCAGCCATGGAGCGAACACAGGACCTTCAGAGTGCCAGACAAACGGCTTGACCACTTCGCCATGGAAGATAACTTAAAACAGTTGCTATAAAACAGAAAAAATTAGCACTGGAATATGATTTAGGCTAGGACGATTCACTGCATCTGATTTATTGATTTAAGAATCAGTATTACAACACACCAGGAATACACATAGATGCTCCGTCTCCCACAGCAAATGTCTTAAGATGTAGATGCTGGCTGTTCCCGTAGTACACTGATTATACAGGCATTGTTCTCTTCCTCTCATGCGTCTGTCCTTGCTAGATCCACTCCTAGTTGCACATTTCTTACACATTATTTCATCTAACCCTGTGTCTTTCATGTATAGTCTTCAGAATTTCTCTTCTGTCCTGTATGAGTATTCCTGTAGCTATCACTTTTGTAGCCAACAAATCTGCTCTGTCGTTCTTTCATTTTCATGCGTGTCCTGGACATGAATCTGTTCAAATATTTGGCGGTGGTCATGAATCAGATGGGTTATGTGTTAAAGAGGGTAGAAAATGCCAAGTCAAGCTGCCTTTTAGAAGATGAACATGTTGCTTATAGAATAAGTCTCTTTCATTAAATGTCACCAAGAGAGTACTGACATGGTATATTGAAACTACTGTATCTTGAATCATGTCTTGAATCTTGAGCTGGTTCAATTGTATACTGTTTGAAGTAAGAAAGTTTAACCCTCTAGCCCTGGAAACACTAACATGAAATTCCGCTAAAATTCCTGAAAAAAAATCCTGATTGATAAATTTATTTTTTGCACGTCACTAAAATTTCATAAAAAATTGTTTTTATCTGCATTTTAAAACTTAATTTAGGAATACGTAATGATACTTGAATTGAAGCCAGTAATTAGAGAACATGAACAGAGTGAAACTTACACCTAAAACAAAATTTGTATTAGGTGACTCATGCTGTGACCCCATGACCTCTATTATCAAAGCTTATGGGAACATTTGACATTATCTTGGCTGTAAAACAGCTATTTGGCTCAAATGTTCCCTCCACTCCCCCCTTCCCAGTTGATTTTGTTTGTTAATGTATGCCTTGTATTCCTATCATGAGACTTAAATGCTTGCGCAGGCGTGAAAACAGCTAATAGCATGAACTGTGTCTCCTAAATAGGTCACTATAGTCAAGTCGGAAAAGTTAAATATACAGAGAATTTAGCACGACCAGAAGTGTTGATTTTGTAGCTTCTTGGGGTTAGAGGGTTGAAATTATTCTTTGAGCTTGCACTGAAACAATGTTGATTGTATGTGACCCAGTTACACAGAGATTGATCCGGTGGTGATCGCCCAGGAGGGGGTGGAGAAGTTCAAGTCAGAAAACTTTGAGATCATCATTGTGGACACCAGTGGTAGACACAAGCAGCAGGACTCGCTGTTCGAGGAGATGTTACAAGTTGAACAGGCTATAGTAAGTTGCATCTGTCTCGTTGTCATCTTTTGTTTTCTGCATTTACACTTTAGACACGGATAAGTACGTTGTGTTTTGATTTACAGCTTAGCTGTGAAATCTCTTAGTTTCTGAACTTGGAGAAGGGAAGGAAAACTTTCCTGATGAGAGACTATATATTGGACCAGGTGAGGTAAATCTTGACATCAGCATCAATCTTATAAATGCAAATTTTTTTAGGGCACAAACAACAACAATGATCATACATGGGACTGAAGAGTTAAAGTTCCAGAGGCTTAACAAACTAGTCTGACTGCCAGTCAGCCAACCAGCCAGTCAGTCAGCCATCCAGTCAGTCCATCAACCAGTCAGCAAGTCAGCCAACCAATCAGTCAGCCCATCAACCAGTCACCAAGTCAACCCACCGCTCAGCCAACCAATCAGTCAGCCAGTCAGTGATGATGACACTGATGACTGCAGTCAAGCTAATACCAATCAATTAATCCATTGAACTAAGAAGTTTCACGAAATGGGCTGGTAGGCATGGAGCTGAACAGTGTACACAAATGAGAAAAACTGGACGCATTGTAAATTTGAACACACAAGACCCAAACAATAGATTGCACAGTTTATTGACTTCACTTTTTTGTTTACTTATATTCAATTGTTACTGAAGTATGGATGTGATGCTGACCACATAACCCATCTTGTGCCGCTCTATAAAAATATAGGTCTAGCCCTATGTACCCTGTACACCTGAAGGCGTGGTAAAGGGACCATTAATATTTTTCACTTTCACTGTAGTATGCATCTGACAACATTCAGCAAAATATTTCAGGCAGTAAGTTGTGTAATCCGTTGTTTGTGGCTTCTTGGTTCAAATTATTATTATTGTCACATGGCTGCTCTTGACATTATTGTTTGATATCTCTTCAGAAACCAGACAACATCATTTTTGTGATGGATGCCTCAATAGGCCAAGCTTGTGAGGCTCAGGTGAGTCTGATTGTAGTCTTCTTCTTCTTCTTCTTCGTGTTCACCAGCTGTGAACTGGTGGAAAGTTCTGGTTGTTCATCCACTTCTGGACTTCAGTCCAGTTCCAGAACCTGAGTGTGGCATGTGCATCCGTTTTACAGATCTGACTCATTTGTATGCAGACTGCTGGTTCCTTGCCTCTCGGGCAGATGCACTTCCACTTTGAAGGAAGCTTCCAGTTAGTCGCCTCTTACGACATGCTTTTAGGTAGGCAGTGGGCCTGTTCTTGTTTTCCCTATAACAGGGCCCCTGAACCCACACAGTGATTTGATTATAGTGACTAGTATAGCTTCTTCAAGTAATGGTTGTAACATAAATTACCAAGGATAAGAGCTTACTGAGACTTTGCCAGAAGCCATCCACCATCATGTCTCTTGTGGTCTGCCTCTGCCTCTTCTACCACTGATCTTTCCAGTCGTCACAATATTTTCCAGTGCTCCTTTTCTCACCACATAACCAAAGAACTTTGTCTGCTTCTCATTGTTGTGAATAATGTTCTACTTTCAATAGCCATTTCCAGGCATTCAATGTTGGTTATTCTGGCAGTCCAAAGTAATGGCAACATTCTTCTCAAGAACCACACCTTGCTAGCCTCCAAACTCTTCTTAATCTGCTCACATTCCAAGATTCACTACCAAAGAATAGAAGAGGCTCTGCCTCTTCTACCACTGATCTTTCCAGTCGTCACAATATTTTCCAGTGCTCCTTTTCTCGTCACATAAAAGAAATTTTGTCTCCTTCTCATTGTTGTATATAATGTTCTACTTTTCATTAGCCATTTCCAGCCAATCATTGTTAGTTATTCTGGCAGTCCAGTGTGTTTGCAACATTCTTCTCAAGAACCACATCTCAGTTGCCTCCAAACTCTTCCTAATTTGATAAGTTAGACAGGTGGAAGATTTTTGTGTGCTGTATATAAAAGACTCTACACACACCTGCGCGCATGCAGGCACGCACACATACGTGATTTTTGTGTGCTGTATATAAAAGACTCTACACACACCTGCGCGCATGCAGGCACGCACGCATACGTGTGACATTGAGGTAATCACACAGCTGTTCTGCTGTGTATAATCATCGCGCTGGAATATAGTTTCAAGTTTAAGCATCAGCACTCAGGACGTTCCTATAAGCACTCCAGCCCCATCTTCTGCAGTCACTGAAGTATTCCAATGCTGACAGCATCAGTAACATTTCATTATTTTATCTTTTCTCTCTGTGTAGTGGCCAGATCCCCTAGTCACTCCCCACCCCCAAGCCTATGGTATTTAACTATGCCTTTGGATAACAGGTCATGGCAGACAGTGATATACCTGCATTTACAAAGCTGTGTCACAGCTGGAATTGACTAGATTTGGTTTTCTCATGGCGACAGGGTTGGGTTTTATATTTGATTTGCCATAGAAAAAGAATCAAACTCAAGCTGTTTCTTGTCATACAGGCCAAAGCTTTCAAGGACAAAGTTGATGTGGCGTCGGTGATCATTACCAAGCTGGACGGGCATGCCAAGGGTGGAGGTGCTCTTAGTGCGTAAGTTAAGACTTTGTAATGTTGTTGAATTCTCACGTGCGATGTAGAGCTAGTTTTAGCATAGGCCTTTGAATCCAGAACAGTTAATAAACAAGCAAACACATTCTTCAGGCCTCAGAGGTGTGGTTTTATAGAAGAATGCTTTAAATTCCTTAAACAGCCAAAGGAAGCAACCCAGATGTTTTGAAAGAGGTAAGGTAAAGGTAAAGTCGGGAGATGTGAACCAGCGTCATTGCACACGGTTATAAACCATAAGTGCTCTGCCACCAGTAAGGATAGCTGATAAGAAACTCTCCGCCTGTGTGGCCGTCCGCATGCAACTCCGTAACTACAGCGACGTTCCTCCATTTACCCCAGTGTTGACTCTGGTGCCCATTTCCTAGAGGCTGGGTGAACCCCGGAAACCACCTGGTTTCGAATACCGGCCGTGGGCTGCAGTGAGTCGCAGCTGGATTTGAAAGCGAGTCTCCTATCGACTGCATTAACGCGACTCCAAATTTAAAAGAGGTGAGGGCCTGAAGATAACTTATTCCAGTTGTCAAAGGGAGACAGTCATAATTTTTTTGGTCACATTATCTTCTTTTTCTTCTTCTTTCATTTGTTTGAAATAGATTATCTATATCTGCAGTGTTGTCTCTAGAATAAACTTCACTGTCTGTTGTAATTTACTCAGCGACCCGTCAAGTTTGGCTTGCACCGGTGTTTCTCTTGGTCAAAAGTTTTGCCGTGATATGTTGTATTTGGTACAAATTGGAGGACGTGATCTGTTGTCTCAGGTGCTAATCCACATGTGCGCATGGCTGATTTGCCTATTTTAAATTTTGTATACATGTGACTGCGAATTCGATTGTGTCCTTTTCTAAGGTGTAGAATAACAACCTGCTCTGGTTTGTCCATAATGTGGTAATCGTCTTGTGCCGGTTTTAGTGGCCATGTTATAAGACAATGGAAACTAGAAGAGACTGTGAACACTGGCAAGATTTATAGAAAGAAAACTAGAGGAAGACAGTGCAGGAAGATTCTTGACAGCCTTTTGTCATGGCATGAAGGGGTGTCTGCATGTGAACTGATACATGCTTTTGGAGAGGCATGATCACCCATGCCAGTCAGCAAAACACTTGATGATGATGATGATTGTTGTCATTAGAGATGAATCATATAGGATAGCCTGGAGCAAGCTGCAAGAGATAAAACAAGATAGTCAGGATGGTTTCCTTCAAAGTCGGAGTGCATCTGCCTGAGAGGCAAGAAACCAACAGTCTGCATAAAATGAGTCAGATCTGTAAAATGGGTCTGCACACAACTCTTACTTGAAAAGTAAGTATACTCGACTTGCATCATTTTCTTCCTTATCTTTTTTGTGCCCCTATACATCGCATATGGCTTGCAATCTGGCCCTCCATTCCATTCTTACCTGTTCAGTCTTCTTAATATCATGGAATACTCGACTTTGTGATAAAACTGGACTGTTTGACTGATAACGTAGCTACTTTGCTGATGCCAAAATGTTCTTTTATTTGTCCAACAGAGTGGCTGCCACCAAAAGTCCTGTCATCTTCATTGGCACAGGCGAACACACAGATGACTTTGAGCCTTTCAAAGTGCAGCCATTTGTTAGCAAGTTGCTAGGTGAGCTTCGTGGCTAGCTTTTAGCTATCACTGTTTATTTTAATGTTTAGTCTAGTGTGAGAGACGCAGAACCAGTAGTCTGTACTTATATAGGCCAGATGTGTAAAATGGATGTGCATGCAACACTGATTTAGTTAGTTGACAGAATATCCTCGTTAGTGGATCGAACCATTCAGTCCATAAGTGCTCGGATCCCCTCCTCAGTAAATCCTACAGCGTGTAGAGGCTGACAACACCAATTCTGTGTTGGTTTATTCTTCTTCTGTGGCTTCCTGGGTAGTGCGCTTATCTAGGCCCCCCCCCCCCCTCTTAACTAGCTGTTCTTGCAGTCTGGTTGCTGTTGCGGATTCACAGTCGTCACTTCGTTGTCGCAAACACCTTACTTCTTGTAAAGAATTCCCTATATGAGCATGGTCCCTGGCTTGACCGCTTTCTGCAGTAGTTTTACCTGCAAGCCTAATAGCTTGCTCATTCACTTGCACACCTGCATGCCCTGGCACAAAAAGGAAACTGATATTTGTCAGCCTCAACCGCCTCGGAGACCCCAGCCACTGTCTTTGGACTCCCATCTCTTATCTTTCTGAGCATACTCATTGAGTCACTGAGAAAGCATGCACAATTGAAAGTCTGTATCTCTAGCCATGTTATTGTTTTGGTTACTGCTAAGACTGCCATAGTCAGACTGCATGTAGTCAAGTTCTAGAAAATGACTCAGGTCGAGAAGTGGACGGACGGCCAAGACCATCCAGCAGAGTTCACACATGCTGAGTGGGAAGAAGAAGAAATATTAATAACAGCCTAGAACGGCTTAACTCTTTGGGTCCCAGGGGATTTAGCATCAGAGGCCCAAGGGGTAGTCAAAAGAGACGTAAAATCTGCGAATTTTGCGTTCATTGGGCTTCTAGTTTGGAACATATGAACGTATAATACATTCCTTGGGACTCAAAGAGTTAAGTAAAACAGCATGAAGTTAGATGTTCATTCTTTCCCACTAATTGTTCAAATGTCTGATTCTGCCACTAGGTATGGGTGACATTGAGGGCTTGATTGATAAGGTCAACGAGTTGAAGCTTGACGATAATGAAGAACTCATGAAAAAACTCAAGCATGGTGAGTGGACTCTTTTCTTTCTTTCTTTATTTCTGTATTTTTTCATTATTTCTTTCTTTTTGTTTTTACTTTCATTCTTTACTCTTTCTTTTTAATTCTTTCTTTCTTTCTGTTTTTTTACTTTCCTTCTTTACTCTTTTTTTGTTTTCTTTCTTTCTTTATTTCTGTGAGTGTGATTCACATTTTATTGATTGATTCATGAAAGTAAAGTTTTCACTCCATTAACTGTGCCAATGTGTGTAGTGACTGTACCATTAGTTGGAAAGTAATTTGCCAACAGCATATACTATAATCACATAATAATAATAACAAGTTTTATATGTACATATGTTGTTTCTGGGACAAATGTTACGAATACCTTGAACGGCCAGAGTAACTTACAACAATTGCTTGAAAGAGGCTAATGAAAGTAGATCTCTATATACAACAGTAAGAGACTAACTGTTCTTTGGCCACATAATGAGAAGAGAGACATTGGAGAACATCGTGACAACTGGAACGATCAGTGGAAAAAGGGGTTGAGGCAGACCAAGAGAGATGATGCTGGATGGGCTAAAACGATGGCATGGAGGGATATCATCAAGAGAGCTGTTCCAGGCATCGTGATCTGTGGAGACACATGAGCGCCTACGCCAGTTGGCAGGGCACATGATGATATATATATACATAAATATATACATACACACACACATATCTCTATGTATATATACATATAAAACATTATGATACTAACAATAATAATAATAACATAATCAAATATAATATAATAAAATATATTGACATAATAAAATATAATATAATAAAATATATTGACATAATAAAATATAATAAATATATTAACATAAAAAACATAACATCATAATAAAAAAAATAGAATAATAAAATAATTGAATAAAATATAAAAATAGTAAATAAATATAATAGAATATATGATCATGCAAATAAATCATCATCAAGTGCCTTGCCAGCTGGCGTAGGTGTTGATGCGTCGCTACAGATCTCGGTCTTTGGTGTTGTGGATCAATTCTACTGATGATATTCCTCCATGCCACTGTCTTAAGCCATCCACCATCATTTCTTATGGTCTGCCTCTGCCTTTTCTACGAGTGATCTTTCGATTCGTCACAATATTTTCCAGTGCTCCTTTTCTCATCACATGACCAAAGAACGTTGTCTCTTTCTCATTGTTGTATATATTATAATGTTCTACTTTCAATAGCCATTTCCAGGCATTCAATGTTGGTTATTCTGGCAGTCCAAGGTATTCGCAACATTCTTCTCAAGAACCACGTCTCACTAGCCTCCAAACTCTTCTTAATTTGCTGTCATTCCAAGATTCACTACCAAACAACAAATGAGGCTCGATATAACATTTCAATACTCGTTTTCTATAGTTTAATGAGAGTGATTTATAACATAAAATACTCCTCATCTTCTGAAAAACTGCCTTTGCCTGGCCAGTTCTGCTCATAATTTCTGTCACACATCGTCCATCTGATGTTATGAATGTTCATAAATGCTTGAATTTATTGACTTGGTTATAAGCACTTTCTCTTTTATTGCTGTGTCACATTTTGGAGTTATCTTCCTCTTTGATGAAACCAGTTTTTTTTCTTCTGTTTTCCTGATATTTAAGAAGAGTCCCAGAGCGAATATGGGAAATGCCAGCCATTTACAGTCTCATAACTTGGTGAAGGAAAAATCCTAGCTGCACTTCCACACGGTAGAGGATAGGCAATACACCGCGGTGTGGCAAACACAGCTTTCTTGGGACCTGGTATCCACCGGAATATGTGGACAACTCTGTAGAACAGGGCACTCACTTGTCCTGACAGTCTGAAATTACTGTAAAAAAAAAAAAAAACCCCATGTGGATGGCAACAGGAACACACCATATTAAATTTCTCCAAGCACTGAAAATGAATGGATGAGAAAAAAAAAAACAATGAAAAAAAAAAATTAACAAATCAAATAAACATTTGAAAAAAAAAAAAAGGAAAGAACCTTGGACTTGAGCCCCATTGAGTCAGTACAGTAGTACTACCTGCATGACTATGCTGTGACTTATGCCAACATCCAGCCCTGCTCAGCCCAAGGGGCCTCCCAGCAGATGATTGTTGGCCATGGAGTGTGGCTCGTCCTATCACTTGGACAGTATCTCTACTGGAGGGTCTGGGGACTTTCCCACAGGCAGCTTGAGAAGCACTGAGGCTCCAGTGGGTGGCCTGTATCGCAGGTTGCCAAGGTTCTACACTAGTCAGAGGTCCACTGGGCTGTTATATGAGGCCACCGGGCTGAAAGTTTCTGGATTGAGTCTGTTATCTTTGCATGTTTGTTACATTTTTTAAATCCTTTAATTGCATTTGTCATATCTTGCATTTTAACCTCATACTTTTTGCCACAGTTCATCTTCATAATTTATACAGTTATAATTTTGTTTCAGATTTTGTAGATACAAACTGAAAAATTGACACATATGTAATGTTAGGAAATATTGTGTAGTTATCTCCCTTTGTAATAACATGTTTGTGATTATTTCCCTTGGCTTTTTTTTTACGTTTAAAAAAATTATAAGTAAAGGATGGGCCTCCGTTTGAAAAATGAAAAGGCAGCGGTAATGGTGGTATCAAAGAAAATAATTTTTTTCTAAATGTGTAATACAAGTCAATGGTGTTATTTTGGGACAAGTACAGAAATTTAAATATCTGGGCACATGGATAACATCAGATGTAAGATGCATTACTGAGATAAGAAACAGAATAGGACAGGCAAAAACTGTATTATATGAAAATGAAGAACATTGTATGCAGTATATCTCTGTCACTGAAGAATAGGGAAAAAAAAACAATTCTTACTTGCTACATGCATTCAGTTTTAACATATGGCTGTGAGTCCCGAACAATCGGTAGGCAGGCTAAACAATTTCTTGAGGCCCCAGATATGTGGTTTTTCAGAAGAATGCTTAAACTAACCTGGACAGCCAAAAAGAGTAATCAAGATGTTTTAAAAGAGGCGTGAGACCAACTTATCAGACAACAGAAGGAGACGGTCATCATTTTTTTGGCCATGTTATGAGAAGAGGGAAAATGGAACATGCTGTGACCACTGGAAAGATCTGTGGAAGGAGGGATAGAGGAAGACAACGAGAGAAGATGCTTGACAGTGGCATAGAGATGTGTTTACACACAAACTGATACTGCAGGAGATCACGAATTGTTGAGAGGCATGATCGCCCACGACAGTCGGCAAGGCACCTGATGATGATGATAATATGCTATTTTCCTATCAAAACAAGTAATTTTTTTAATGCTTACAGTAAAAAACAACAGAGTTATTTGTTTTCCATTTGTGACTTTCAGGCCAGTTCACCTTGAGAGACATGTATGAGCAGTTTCAGAACATCATGAAGATGGGACCTTTCAGTCAGATTATGGTCTGTATATTTAGTGCTTCAGCTGTTTATATTTTTCCAGATCCACCCGCACCTGACTACAGGTTTCTGGGGTGCCCTAGTGTAACTCTGCTCTGTGGCTATACTGTTGATTCTTTTCCTTGAGATGTTAATCCTACAAACTTGCAGTCATGGAGAGGAACCTCTTAAAAAGGTTCTTGTCTTTTATTTCCCACCATCTCAGGGACTTTGAGACTTTATGGGAGAGTTCCTGGGAAAGTCCAGTAGTATAGGGGTGTTAAAGTGTAATAGTAGGACTGTCCTGGGAACTCCCCATGAACTCAAGAGTCCTGGAGATGGGGTGAGCTAAAAGAAAAGTACCCTAAAAATATGTATATATTCTTCTGTACCTTCTCTGTTCTGGATGGTGGAGGGGATCATACCCCTTCTGCACAACCTATACTGTAAGATTGGATTACTGCGGCTGTTTCTAGTTCTTTGTTTTTTAAGATTTACATATTATTGAGAAATTATGTGGAAGCATAACTGCCCAGGATTTTATATCTTGGTCTTCCCCTGCCTCTCTCCTCCTCCAGCTTCCAAGCTGGCATAACATACTCCAGTTTTCTCTTTCACATTTCACACCTAGCAAATGTGGATTGTCCCCTTCTGGTGCAGGTGATCACTTCTCTTTGATCCCTGTATGGGTTCCGGAGCCCCATGTGAATGAGTATACCCACTGCACATCTAACAAGCATGTCATAAAAGTTGACTGAGGTGTTCCCTTCGAAGTCGGAGTACATCTACATGAGAAGTCAGAGCACCTGCCTGAGAAGTCAGAGTACATCTGCCTGAGAAGTCAGAGTACATCTGCCTGAGAAGTCGGAGTACATCTGCCTGAGAAGTCGGAGTACATCTGCCTGAGAAGTCGGAGTACATCTGCCTGAGAAGTCTGAGTACATCTGCATGAGAAGTCAGAGTACATCTGCATGAGAAGTCAGAGTACATCTGCATGAGAAGTCAGAGTACATCTACATGAGAAGCAAGGACCCAGCAGTCTGTATACAAATAAGCCAGATCTAAAAAAAAAAAAAAAAAAAACAGATGTGCATGCAAAACCTAGATTTGGAAGAAGACAGATCCAAAAGTGGATGAACAACCAGAACTTTCCACCAGATTTTACAGCTGGTGAACGCTAACAAGAAGAAGAAACGGTTCTCTTTGTGGGGTTTGTATGTATGGGTGTGAGTGCATGCATCATTATTTACAAGTAGTGGGAAGATAACATCAAGAGGTGAATGAATAACATTCTTAGTGAAAGCACAACTAGGATGACAGATAGCTTGTTGGAAATTTATTGCAGTCATTGGAGAGCTTTCGGAGATCCATTGCGGCAGTTTCGCTTACATCATCTGACTGTCGTTTTTGTCATTGTGGGGACATTACCTGACTGATTGAAAGTACAGAAGAAGAATTTTGAGCATTATGCATATGATTGTAATCCTTGTTGCAGTAATCTCTTTCTTTGTCAGTTCTCTCCCACCTCTTGCACTGTCCTACCCAAGGTGTCACTTAGATCCTGTGCTCGTCTTCCTGCTAGTTGGTTCCTGTCCTTCTTTCCTGGTACCATGCTTTCGGCTGTATTTGTCAGATCCTCCATGACACTTGATGTGGCCAGAATATTTCAGTTTCCGAGACAAGATGATATGTTCACTAGCTCTTGCATTAAAGTTATGAATATAATCTCTGCAGTATGTTTAACCATTGTCATGATAATCCTTGCAGGGCATGATCCCTGGGTTCAGCTCGGACTTCATGACCAAGGGCAGCGAGCAAGAGTCCATGGCTAGGCTGAAAAAACTCATGACCATCATGGACAGCATGAATGACCAGGGTAGGTGCTCAGGTGTTGTCATGGTGAATCACTAGTGTTGCCATGGTGAATCACTAGTGTTGTCATGGTGAATCACTAGTGTTGCCATGGTGAATCACTAGTGTTGTCATGGTGAAGCACTAGTGTTGGTGACCTTCCATTTATAGGTTCCTGCACCTCATGGGGAGGGGAAGGGGCTAAAGAACAGACCCACTGTCCCTCATCAGGCTACTCGATTTTTTTAAAAATGAGTTATGTTTTTGAAGTCCGAGTGCATCTGCCTGAGAGGTGAGAAACCAACAGTCTGCACACAAATAAGTCAAATCTATAAATGATCCCAAGACAACTTAATAAACACCTGCACCTACGCCACACAGAATAAAAATTGTAATTTCAGGTTGTATTTCTATTTATAGTGTATTCAATAGAGTACACATTATGTATTTTTCACACTGTGTACAATAATTATACGTACATATATTGCATTTTTGTGTTTTATGTTACAATTTATGTAACCTGTTTAAATGAAAATAGTGTTGAAATGTGTAAATTCAACTTACGACCTGTTCAACGTATGGCCTGTTAGTCAGAACCAAAGTCGCCTGTAAGTTAATAAGGGCCTGATGATCTTGTAACGTATTTGTTGTTTTCCAATATGATCTTAACATTTTTAAATGATAAATATTGTTTCCTTTAATACTGGACAGCCTCGAGGGAGAAAAGCTGTTCTCCCGCTGTCCAGGCAGAGTTAATCGTGTGGCTCGAGGTGCCGGTGTGTCAGGTCGGGAGGTCAATGAGCTGCTGACGCAGTACAAGAAGTTTGCACAGATGGTCAAGAAAATGGGAGGAATCAAAGGCCTCTTTAAAGGTGAGTTACAGTGACTGTTTGACTTGTGTGTAACATTTCGGTTAACAATCCTTTGTTTTCGAGAAAATTTTTGCTGTTCTTGTTTTTGAGAGGTTTTTTTTGTGTGGTAATATTTATGTTAACAGTCTGTTTAGTTTTTTCGTCTGTGTTAGCCAGATGAATGGGGCAGAGTTGAGTTTAACAATCGTGTGGCTCAATTTAACACACTAGATTTCTGCAGTCCTAATGTTTTGTTTTTTGTATTTAGTGTACAGTCAGGTCGGGAGGTCAATGAGCTGCTGACACAGTACAAGAAGTTTGCACAGATGGTCAAGAAAATGGGAGGAATCAAAGGCCTCTTTAAAGGTGAGTTACAGTGACTGTTTGACTTGTGTGTAACATTTCAGTTAACAATCCTTGTTTTCGTATATTTTTTTCCCTGTAAAATTTATAATAACATTTGTTTCTTCTGTAGTATCTATGTTAACAGTTCTTGTTTTTGAGAGGTTTTTTTGTGTGGTAATATTTATGTTAACAGTCTGTTTAGTTTTTTCTGTATTATTTAACTGTCTGTAGTTAGCAGTCAGATGAATGGGTTCAACAGGCGGTGATATGTTGCCCAAGTCTGTATCGTGTTCTTGCTCTCCAACAGGTGGTGTTATATCACCCAAGTCTGTATCATGTTCTTGCTCTCCAACAGGTGGTGTTATGTTGCCCAAGTCTGTATCATGTTCTTGCTCTCCAACAGGTGGTGTTATATCACCCAAGTCTGTATCGTGTTCTTGCTCTCCAACAGGTGGTGTTATATCACCCAAGTCTATATCATGTTCTTGCTCTCTAACCGGTGGTGTTATATCACCCAAGTCTGTATCATGTTCTTGCTCTCCAACCGGTGGTGTTATATCACCCAAGTCTGTATCGTGTTCTTGCTCTCCAACAGGTGGTGATATGTCGACCAAGTCTGTATCATGTTCTTGCTCTCCAACAGGTGGTGATATGTCGCCCAAGTCTGTATCATATTCTTGCTCTCCAACAGGTGGTGATATGTCGACCAAGTCTGTATCATGTTCTTGCTCTCCAACAGGTGGTGTTATATCACCCAAGTCTGTATCATGTTCTTGCTCTCCAACAGGTGGTGATATATCAGCCAAGTCTGTATCATGTTCTTGCTCTCCAACCGGTGGTGATATATCGCCCAAGTCTGTATCATGTTCTTGCTCTCCAACAGGTGGTGATATGAACAGAAATGCCCAAGTCTGTATCATGTTCTGATGGCTCTACAGCACATGGTAAGGTGATATGTCGCCCAACTCTGTATCATGTTCTTGCTCTCCAACAGGTGGTGTTATATCACCCAAGTCTGTATCATGTTCTTGCTCTCCAACAGGTGGTGATATGAACAGAAATGTCAACCAAGGACAGATGACCAAACTCAACCAGCAGATGGCAAAGATGATGGACCCCCGTGTCCTACAGCAAATGGGTAAGTTTGGATTAAAAGATGTTAAATCTTTTCTAGTCCTTCTCTGACTTTTAGAGTCAGGTGTTGAAGAGGTATCTGGTACAAGCCTGGGTGTGTGTGTGCGCTACACAGATGCAGGTACTTCCTGCCTTGGATTACAATGTTTGTCTGAGCGACTTTCTAACTTTGCTTCTGTTGTGTCTTAGTGACAGGGCTGTCTGTGATGCACATTTTTAAAGAATATTATAATTGGAAATATAGAACATGTTAAAACTAGAACAACATTTTATAGTTTGACGTTTTTTGTTTGAACAGCGGATCAACATCATGGCACGGGGGTAGTAACCCATAAGTGCTCTGTTCTTTCTTCTAAGTCTGAGTCCGAAGAAGCTCAGCATAGTGCACAGGCTCTGTAGCACTGGCGAAGATCCTGAAATTCTTTGGGTAGATTTTCAACTCCAAATTTTGCCCGGGCAGCGCCGTTTAGGCCACTCTTTTCGATTTCCAGCTGCCAAGGTATTTTTTTTTACATGCGCAACAGTGCACACAGGCGTCCGATCTCACTACCCAGAGACCAAGGGAAATACTAGAAGTCCAAGTCCACGTGAAAAAATCCCTTACTGGGGATTGAACCTGAAGCCTCTAGCACTCGAGGCTGACACCATGCCTCAAGACCACTCAGCCCCAAACATTTTACAGAAAAATGTTGACTATTATTGATCCCACTAAGACTGCTTGCAAATATCAGGCCCAGATACTGAGGACTCCATTCCTCCGAAAGGTAATACAACCACACAGGTGAGTCATTGTTGAATAATATCCGAACTTGTTTGGTATTCAGAAATATTGAATGGTGCAATTCATTGTTAGAGACATTGCTTGGTATAGAATGAGTCCAGATAGGCCACAACCATCAGTGAGGAACTCATCAATTCTCTTCCATGTTTCCGCAGGAGGAATGCAAGGTCTACAGAGCATGATGAGGCAGTTCCAGCAAGGAGCTACTGGCAAATTTGGCAACATGTTTAACTTCACAGACAGATAATTGAGAACATTTCCCCGTCTTGTCGATATTTTATAGTTTTTTCTCTAACCTCTCATTGTCGTCATTTTTCTCTGTTTTGGATGAAGGGATTTTTTTGCCGTGGTCTATAATCAAAAGGTACAAACATAAAATGAAGGTTCACAGCATCACTAGTTTTATTTTTCTTCTTGACTCTCCTATTCTTATCCTTTAAATTTAATTTAAGACAGGCCTGTGTGCCCAATTTTTAATCCTTCGGAAATAAAGTCTGTTTGTTTGTTCCCCAATAAAATTATTTTAATTTGTGCCCTCTCAGCAGTGAAGGTCAGCAGCATGCATCAGCTGTTGTCTTTGGGAGAATAGTTTACTGTTGGCGAAGACATTAAGAATATTTTAATTTTATCATCACTATGTAGCAGATCCTTTGCAGAACATCGTTCTCATCATGGTCTGCCTGAAAGAAACTGTGGTACCATGCCATCTGTTTTAATTTGTTCCAATCCACCGTGGTGCTTGATACAAATTATTTCAAATTCCAAAGACAAGATGCTGTTTGCTGGCCAATCCTTGATATTAAGATTTTTTTGGGGGGAATGTTCAGTATTTCTGTTTTCATGGGTTTGAGAGAATCCATCTACAGCATTTCAATTTATCAAAACATAATGTTGAATTAAGAATTGACATCACAGCACTCGGAACACTCCCATAAGTGCTCCGTCCCCATCTTCAGCAGCAAGCGAAGAGTTCTAATTCCGATCGCACCAGTAACCGTGTGATTGTAAATCTGTCTCCTTCTTCCCCTGAGTGCTGAGCATCGGCCAGATCCCCTGGTAACTACTCGCAGCGCCATTTTCTTCACATCGTAATTATCTGTTTGTACCTGCACACTGTTCACTCGTTCCCAAAGGGCCCTCACAATATCTAGCTGGTCATTTTCATGAGATCAAATGAATATATCTGGAATACAACAGTCGGTTAGGTGTCTATCTTTTTGTGCCTGACTCTAATCTCTTTTCTTGTTTTTCTTCTTCTTCTTTGTTCACCGGTTGTAAATTCCATTGGACGGTCCGCCCTAGTTGTTCGTCAATTTGGCATTGTGCCTGGGCCTAAAATCCGTGTTACTGGCTTATTTGTATGCAGTTGGTTGTACCTTACCGCTCGGGCAAATGCACTCCGACTCCGAAGGAAGCTCCCCGTTAGTCGACTTGTTGGGGAGGCAGTGGGTCTATTCTTGTTATCCCCACAGTGGGACTCTGGAACCCACACATTGATTTTTTTCTGGGGTGGGGGGTTTAAATCTCCTGTATTTCCTTGTTTTGTTACCTGGTGTAACATCACGGATAGTATGTGAGCTCATCAGTAAGAGTTTTGCTGGTTTAATTACACCCTGACCAAGGATGTTGAATTATTCCCGAGCATTGAAAGATTTGAACCTAGAACTGCAAACTTCATATTAATTTGCCATTGTTGATGGAAATTAATGGAAAATTCTCGCTGTCGGTGTCAGAGATACAAGTTTAGTTAGCTAAAAGCAAATGGTCCTGAAAGGCCAGTGGCATATAGGTTACTGGACCCATATTTTTATAGATCAGTTGGTACTCGATAAGTGATCAGCTGCTTATATATTTCCTGGCTAACATTTCACACTGGGCCAACCTAGCACCCATGGTAAATGTCATAAATTGTGGCGTTCACAGTAAATGCCATAACTTGTGGCGCCCATGGTAAATGTCATAAATTGTGGCGTCCACAGTAAATGCCATAACTTGTGGCCCCCATGGTAAATGTCATAAATTGTGGCGTCCACAGTAAATGCCATAACTTGTGGCCCCCATGGTAAATGTCATAAATTGTGGCATCCAAGGTAAATGCCATAAATTGTGGTGTATAAATCAACCTCAAGATTTTTAGAAAAAAATTAGGAGTTTGGCTTACACCTCATTTGCCGACCTGGAAAAGCAAAATTTGTAGGCCTGAAAACTCGACTTATACGCCACAGTGCATGTTAAAAATATGTCTCAGTGTGGAGTCAAACTGAAGACCTTTAGGCTGACAGCTGAGTGTCCAGCCACTTGACTCCTGCTACAGATTTACTGAATATGTGAGAGCTATGTATGCTGGTGTATATTCTGTTCACTGTGTCTGTATATAGATGTACCTGGTTGCAGTCCAATTACAAAGACATCTTATACATGATCTTTTGTTGTTGTTAAAGGTGTACAGCAAAAAGAGCGCATAAAAGCCTACAATTGGAAACGTTTTGGTTGTTTGCATTTGCATCTTTACGCCTCTCCTCCGAACTTCTACCCGATATTATGAGGGCCATAAAATTTCCTTACGGGGCTCAGTCCTATTAAAAATATACGAACTTCCGGCGACGAATGAATCGTGGCAAAACTAGGATTACCTCACAATTTCAAGAGACGCAACACTGCAGACGATAGTAGCAGACGATAATAGCGACCGTTGACACTTTCGAGTGTTTCTGCAGGCGATACTAGCGACCATTGACAATTTCGAGACACGCAACATTACTAATGATAACAGCCACATGGCAGGAAGTCCACGTGCGCCGACACAGATTAGCGTCGTCGTTGTCCTCACACTTTTCGGCATGCGCAAAACGCGGTTACACTCACTGCCGACAGTATCATATGGGGAGCTAAACTAGGTGCCTGGGACTCACGAGCAAATTAATTGGAGGAAGTTGCAGGAGATGAGGTAGCTGCTGCTCGTGAGTCCCAGCCATCTATTTAAGCCCCCATCTGCGCCGCGCGTAGCGGCACGGGGGATACGGTTGGCGGTGAGGCATAGTCACAGAAACAGATCCGCAATCAACATATTGCCGAGACCCTGTTAGAGCATTTCTTTCGTTATACGGAGCCGGCATATTTTTAATAGGACTGAGCCCCGTAAGGATATTTTATGGCCGCCATAATATCGTGTAGAAGTTCGGAGGAGAGCCTTTACTTTTAGATACAATGAAAAAAAAAGGATCTAAACCCCCCCCCCCCCCCCCCACACACACACACACCGGTGGTGCATAAGATGCTTGCAGCGGTACTCGATGGGTGATGTGTTCAAACATCACACCGGCCGCCTTGACTTCCCATGACATTACCTGGTACCCATTTAAGGCTGGGTTGACCAGAAAGCCAAGGTCAGTTTGGAAAGACTGTCCGATCATATAGGCAGAAGTCAGTCTTGTACTTGACAAACTCACTCTCTGATGTTTAGAGTTTAACTTATGTATTAACTTATGCAACACATGAGAAAGAACACACACACAATCCTTTCCCCCCCCCCCCCCCCCCCCCCCCCTGAGGAAGAGAAAGAAGACTAGTTCAATGATATAACACAAGTAGCCGGAACCAAGTGGGTTACAGTAAAATAAAGGCTGGAACAACAAAAAGTCCACAACAGTTCAAACAACAAAATGAAGCACACAGTACAAGATAAAACAATTTATAACTGCAAGTAAGAAGATCCCCGTGTGGGTTCCAGGGGGCCCCCATTTCGGGGGAGAAGGGATAAACCCATTGCTCCCTAACATGCATGTCGTAAAAAGCCCTAATTATAGGTGTTTATTTCAAAGTCGGAGTGCATCTGCCTGAGAGGTGAGGAACCAGCAGTCTGCATACAAATAAGCCAGATCTGTAAAATGGATGTGCACACAAAATTCAAGTTCTGGAACAAGGCTGAAGTCCAGAAGTGGACAAATAATGTTGAAGAACATGTATAAGCAACGACTGGAGTTATGCTTGTAATGGCGTTGGTTATTTTTCCTATGTATGGAAACTTATGGGGTGACGTACCTGCAACTTCGAAAAGACACCTGGCCTCAAGAGCAAAGTGTGCAGAGCAAGCTATGGGGAACCATGCAGGACCTGCAGCTGACATGCGAGTTTACAGAGGCAACCCACCTGATGGTCTGATCTGAGCATATGAAACCGAACGCAAAGAAGAAAGAAGCTAATGAAAACAGATCAATATTTATACAGCTAGAAGGAAAAGGGAAAAGGGGTTTCCGGTTTGGACCAAGATGGTGGGACATGTTTCCCCTCTAGGTTGGCTCAAGACTGTTGATCGACAACCTGACCAGTCTCCATCATAAAACATCCATTGTTTTAGAATAAGATTTTTAACTACTTAGAATGGATAAGACCAGACTCCCTCATCAAGCTCTTATATGGACACCGGAAGGGACAAGAAAACACGGGAAAACCAAGAGAGACCCTGTGTAGAACCATCATTAGGGAAGGCTCAACCATGGGCCTAATGAACATTCAAGATCTAAAACTGGTGGCAACGAAACGCCAGACATGGAGAGTTATGACCTCTGCTCTCTGCGCCTCCTTAGGCTCAAGAAAGACTAACTGTTCTTTGGTCATGTGATGAGGGGGGGAGGCTTTGGAGAATATTATGACGACTAGAAAGAACAAAGATAGAAGAGGGAGAGGCAGGCCGAGAGAGAAGATGACAGATGGATTGAGACGGTGGCACGGAGGGATATTATTGGTAGAACTGATTCATGGACAAAGGACCGAGATCTGTTGAGATGCATGAACACCTACGCCAGCTAGCAGTGTACATGATGATGATGATTGATGGTCCTCAGGGACTCTCTTCTGCCTTCTGTCCGGTCATTAAATGATCAGCCTTTCTTTCCATTCTCAAATAGTAGGTTTATTCAACCGGTGGCCCATGGGCCAAATCTTGCCCTACAAGTGGCCCATGGATAATTGTCAATTTTATTGTATTAATGATCTTTATGGGAGGCTTGGGCCACTGGCGATCCCCATTTCCAAAACTTTGACGTCTGAGTAAACTTAGCTGAAAAGACTGGCCATATGGCCTGTACCAGTGTTTCCCAAACTTGTGTGTGCCATACCCCATCTAAGCCTTTCTTAAGTTCTGATGCCCCCTATGTAACTTATACTCTGGACAAGTCAATTGTCGCCCACCTCTAGAAGTTAGTCTTGTTCCAAAACCTAAGTGTTGTGTGCAGATCTGTTTTACAG